CCACACGTGAATAAAACAACAAACAACTCAGGCAATGTCCAGTGCCCTGGGAGTTCAGAGTAGGGGCTGATAAAAGAGACATGGAGGAGGCAAGGAAACTCAGGGAAAGAGGAAGGAGCTTCCAGTTGGACACTGTGGAGGGAAGCGGGGGAGGGTCTGAGCTCAGGAACTCAGGGGCTCACGCGGATGCAAGATGGTGTGGCGTTTGGTTGTTTGCAAGGAAAGGAGGGTGTTCACCGAGCACAGGGAACACTGTTGGCTGGGTGGGGAGAGGCCAGATTATTGAGGTCTGGTCTGTTCCCTCTGTTTATTATGATTCATTCAACAACCTGGGACATGGCTACTTTCTAAGATATCATCCTTTACTTTGGGAGAAACAGACACATCTTCCAAGATGCAGAAGGTTCCTTTGGCTGTAAACACACATAAGAGCACCTTGTTCATCTAGGATACTTAGAGGCCAAATATCCAAAACCTTAAATATCCAGACTGGGTGGGTGTGAGGGGGTTCAGAAGAAAAGATCATGAGCTGCTAAATTAATGCCGAGAGCTCCGCGCTCTGTGGCTCTTCCCCTTGGTCCCTTTGGGACCACTCCCCAGCCTTACTCTGCTGTGGCTTGGCTGGCTGAAGCCAACTAAACAGAAATGCTGGCCCTGGTTCTGCACTGGCTTGGGGCAAAGCTTAGACCCCAGAACCAAAACGTCCCAATAGATAGCAAGACCTCCCGAAACAAAATTGATAACACATAATAAAAAGGTAACAAGGAGTCCCAAGGGGAAGGCTGCAGGAGGCAGGCATACTCATAACAGGAAGTGAAAGTGGGAGTATCGATAGAAAATAGTCCCAAATTTTCCCATGACAAAGTACAAAGATGTGGGCACAATTGCTAACTCATCGTGCATCTACATAAACAAGGCACGGCAATCTTGCAAAGTAGTATTATTACCACGGTTTTGCACATGAAGAAACTGACGACTGGGAAGTTTAAAAGGTCAGTAAAAATTCAAATCTAAATCTGTCTGTTCCAAATATGACATTACCTGGCCCCTGTCACAAAAGTGAAGTTTAGAAATATTAATAGAAGTTTGAGTCATCAAGAAAAAATTTGACTCCCCTCAATGTTGAGTTTATTTAAGAAGACAGAGAAGTGCGGCATGTGATTTAGAATGTTCTCTATCAGAAACCCTTTTAAAAAAGAACTTTCAGAATTTTAAAAGGGGATGTTTCAGTATTTGGAAATTCCACTTAGATGGAATGCTGTTCTTCAATGGTATATGGTAAATGAAATGTTATCCTGAACATAACACATAGAATCATTAGTGTAGACTTCCTTGAGAGGTTTCTAGGCTAAGAAATGTTCTTTTAAGTCTTTCTAGGGGCTTTTGCACTTTCTGAAACCCATCTGGAAATGACTAGTTCTCAAAAGGACCAGCTTCCTGATTTTGGTTCCATTTGGGTGAGCCTCTGGGATGGTGGGTGCCGTGCCTGTTTGAGGACTCATGAATCAGCTGTGTATCATACGCAGGCGGGTGTTTTTAAAAATACATACATTTTAAATTTTCGAAACGGAAAAAACCCTCAACTTTGTGTATGTGTTTCTAAAACCATAACATTCAGCCTGTTAGCTGATGACTCAAAAGAAAGGCCTCCGTCTGCTGAAGCAGCAGCATCCCCGCATCTTCCGCTCCACAGGGAATGAAGTGGCTGCTCTCTGTCTGCCCAGACAGCCCTGAGTCCTGCCCTTTTGTCCCTCAGCCACAGGGGCCTGGCAGTGCCACAGCAGCCTCTGGTTTCTGCCCACAGCTGCTAAACAGACCCCAGCACAGCCTGTGGGTGCTCAGGGCTTGGATCCCTGCAAATGGCTGGAGGGAGGAGTCAGGGGGAGCTCACCAGAGACGGTGGCCTTGGATTGCACTGATTCAGGCAAGGCTGAGGCTTGTGAGTGAAATTTTCCAAGCAGACAGCAAGCTTAGAGGGAACAAAGTTAACAAATGGCAGTTAGAGGAAAAGGTCTGTCTAGGGTTTACTCAGCAACAGCCTAGACCTTTGGGATGTAGATTTCAAGGTAGAGGGAGCCAAGGGCCCAGGGGCCACAACCCAGGATAATCCTTATATATCAGGCCCCGTCCCCAGGCCATGGGGCAATCTTTGCCATTAATTCTGCACACGGAAAAAAGAAGGAAAAACCCAAAGGCCACGTGCTGACCACTGCCCTTTCTCCACAGCTGGGCCGGCCTTTTTTTCTGACTTTCTTACTCATTTCCCCTTTTCGCTGGGGTCTTGCTGCTGTGTTCTATCATCAGAAGGACAGCGTGGGCAGTTTTCTTTTGGGAAGTACCCACCTTCTGGGCCTTAAGAGCCAAATCCAATTTGAAACATGCACCCAAAATGAAAGGAGAAAGCAGGCTGATTTCCTCTGACAGTCAGTGCTTTCCAACCTGGGAGCTCCCTTGGAAGGAAAATGAAGTATGGAAGAGAGAGGGGGCAGGCCGGAGAGCAGGAACAAGGCAGAACTTCCAGGACTTCAATTAGATTAATTGTTCCTCTCACAAGAAAGTAAAACAAGGCAGCGGACAGAGGGAAGCCCATTTATTCCAAATGCAAATGGCCAAGGGGAAATGTCAAAAATACATCGGAGAGTGAGAGGCTGAGAAAACCAGATGTGTCTTTCTAAATACAAAAATTAATGAGAGAGAGAGAGAGAGAAAAATGGGGCATGGAGGAGAAAAGGGGGAGGGACAGAGAATTAAGGACAAGGTTAAGTAGATGTGGCTTAATCCCAACAGAGCCTCTCTGACATTTGGCACTGGGGGAAACAGACCCCAGGAAGATTTTTTTTTCTAACCTTCTTGACCTTTTAAGTTCAAGCCAGAAGCATGAGACGGGGGAGTGAGGAGAAAAAGTGGAAGCGACTTAGTGAGGATGATAACCCAGAAGACACCCTGTAACTCACAGGGCTCTCCTGCTCCCACTCCAGCAAGGGGCCATGTCTTGTCCCTTCCTGGTTAGAGGATCCGGCGACCTTCAGTTCTCCCTATCTCTGGGGCTGAGGCCTGAGGGGAAGAGGTACCTGCAGCCCAAAGCAGGGCAGGGGCATGTTTTCCTGGCCTTTCATCCTTCCCGACATGTTCTAAGCCCTGTTCCCTAGCTCCCCAGCTTTTCCTCCCAAAAGCCATTCCTTCTCCCTCTGTCACTATGAATATACACAAGATGACCTCTTAGCAATTTCCCTGGGAGACTCGCTGGCATAAGCATAACAGAATCTGGCCCTCAGTCGGGAGAGGTACTTAGTCAAATTCCTCTGAGCTCAGACCCAAGCTCTCTGTGCATTATGCTTTGGTTTGTGCCAACTTTCTGCAGCCCAGCCAGAGGAACCAGGACCCCAAACACCTTATAAAGAAGCTCTTCTAACAGAAATTCTTGCTAAAGTTCACTGCCAGGGAATCAGAAACCTTGAGATGCTGAGCAAATGTATCCGGGATGGGCACTGGACTTAGACAGCGAGGAGCTGATGAGTTACCCTATGTCACCCACTGAGTCAAGAGAGGGTCTGGGATGAGAAACTCCACCCTATGACTCTTTATCACATGAGGCATCCAGCCGGGAAACCCTCTGTTTTCAACAAAGACTATCTCTTGTTAGGAGAAAACCATTATGGAGGTGTAAAGTAGTCCTGGGAGGATAATAATGACATGAATTCACTGAGCCTCACAGTCTAGGACTAGTTCAAGTGGGGCCTTGTTTCTTCCTGGAGGAGGAGCTGGCCCAGACCCGGCCTGCTCTGAAATGCAGGCGAGGTACCTGTCCCGCCAGCCGGCCCCTTTATTAATTTTTCAGTACTCACAATGCCTTCATCACAAGGACTGCTCAGACAATTTATCAATCACATGGGAGCTCTGAACACTTATCAGAGCAATGGCATGCTTAGGTGCTCATTTGGAGCAGAATGTGATCGTTGGCACATTCTTCTCTGCACAGAAAACTCTCACTTTTGTTTCAATAAGGAAAGACTTTAAGGTAGAGCTCACTAGACAGTACAAAGCGCATCTGCATTCTTTACGTTACAATGCTGCCTGCTTCCCAACCTCAACTTACAGGGACCTCGGTGTTAATGTGGCATTTGTAAAACACTCACAAATGTCTAAATGTCCACTTGGTACCTCCTAAGCCAGACACTTCCAAGATGGCAGAGCTGATGTTGTAAGACCAGCTGAGTCACCTCAGGTGACTGACTTAACCTCTCTGTGCTTTGATTTTCTCTTCTGCAAAATGGATATCATAATGGCCCCAGCTTCCCAGGGCCATTGTGAGAAGTGGATGGATTTATATTTGTAAAGCAATTAGAACAGTGCTTGTTAAACAAATCCATAACACCAACTTCGAGGCTGTAACCTGTGCAGCACAGATATCAAGAATCAATATGAATCTTCGATCTACTCACATAGACTCAGATTTTTTACTCTTTTTGCATAAGGAACCCAGCTGCCGCTTCATAAAATAACACACTGATCCTCCACTACTGGATGCAGAGGAAGTCCCTACTTGAGGATCCGGCTACTATCTCATGAAGGAAGATGGTGGGGTTTCTACTTGCAGCAGCTGTGGAAATGAGGAGATCTCCAAGGAGAAGGTAAATCCCAAAGTCGAGAGGGGGGGTATTGTAGTCTACCCCCACCCCCACGTGGAAATTCTCCTCCACTGCCAGCCGTTAAAGACAGGGTGCTATTCCTTACACCCTTCACTCAAGAAGGCTCTTTCCACAATATTGTGGGGTCAACTACACCTTTATTTCTCTTTTGAAAGAGAATGTCACCTCGAGGTTTGTCTCTGGGGCCAGGGGCCACCGCTGGTTAGCAGCAGGTCCTGGGGTGAGAAGTGCTGCCTTTCAGTGACAGAAGTGACAAGAGCATGGGGCGGGGTGGGGAGTATGAGTCTCATGAATAGGGTCCCACCGTGTGGTCCCCTATACACCGTGGGGTCCCACCAGGATGGTGCTTACTTGCAGTCGTGCTTCTCAATTTCGAAGTGAGGGTTGAAGTTGAGGACAATCTTCTGGTTGGGTTCAGGGGCATAGACGATCCACTCACAGTTCTGGTGGGAGGGGTAGTCCTGGGGGTAACCGGGAGAGGTGATGTAGCCAGCATCTTTGGAATTCAAACGACCTCCACAGGGTGGGTCTGAAAGAGAAACCAACAACCCAAAGAACTTCAAATATGCTACAGCCTTTATTCCCCTCTCCCTGCTTCTCTTCTCTACCAGTGGCTGATTACAACTCTTTTACAGACCTTTTATGGCAGTCCAGAAGACTAACCTACTTACTCATTCGGTGGAAGAGATTATTTCAGTTCATCTCTCCCCCTACCCACCCGACTACACGCACAGATGCACAAATGAAAGTATTCCAGAACACGGTCATAAATATTCCCAATTACATGGTCTGCGATTAAAAAAAACAAGACTGCAAACCGAACATGCCTCCCTGTCTTTTCCTGTCTCCCCTCCCTGGCCCATGTTCTTCTCCTTGTTCAAACCTCCCATCTCTATCTTTGTCTCATAAATCCCTCATTTTATTCGGTGTCTCCCAGCCCAGCCCAGGCAGCGGCAGTGGAGGCTCCGGGAACTGACAATAGCGGTTTTGTGGTGCCGACCCACAAGCCAGCCTGGTAACAATTACACGTGGTGCAGAGGAAGCACTTTCAGCTTTGGGCCAGAACAGGCCCTGGAGGGTGATTTCAGCTTTTTTTTTTTTTTCTTTTTAAGAAAGAAAAAAACAAAACCCCCAAACATTTAATTCCACATATACCGCAAATTTGATTTATTATTTCATTATACACTGAGTGGAAAAATCTGTATTAGAGACTCCACTGGCTCCGACTTCAGAATTTCCACAAAGGTGCTTTGTGCTGAATGGACGTCTGTGTTTTTTCTGCGCTCTCTGCCCACTGTCCCCTCTGCCTGGTCCCCACCACCAGAGTGTGCTGCTGCATTGTCCAGCCGTCCCCAGCCCTGTGAGGAGTGGGCGCCCCTCCCGGGCAGTGCCTGGCTGCAGGTAAACAGCTTCCTGTGGCCCAGGAGGGAAGGCGGCCATCTTCAAAGGCAGGAAAGCTGGGTGATGACATTTGAAGAATCTCGTCTCTTTAGGAGTGAAGTTCTGCAATCCCAGCAGGGGTTGCTGGGAAATGGGGGGGGGGGTTGCTTAATACCACAGTAGGGCAGATGACCCAAAAGCACTAGAGACATGGAAATATTCAGAAGCCTCTTGGAGACCTTCCTGAGACTTGTGTGTCTCTTAGCATCAATCACGATTTAATATCGCCATCTGCGTGGAGCAGCACAGCCGTGAATTATGTATTACGACTCGGCAGCCACCCTCCAGGATGGGCCTTTCTCCTGTGTTCACTCTTCGAGGGAACAGGTCATGCATTTTTTAACTCTACAGGTGCACTTTACTATTCCCCGCGTCTGTCGGCATTACTGTTTCCCAGAGCTCTGCTTTAGATTACCGGCCTGACAGGCTTTAAATGCATAAAAGATGGCACACGGCACAATGGTGTTTGGGACACAAATCCACACAAGTAGCCTTTTCAGCATTGAGCTTCCAAGAGCTCAAACTGTGCCGGTTGAACTGCCCAGAATCTAATGGATTTGGGTCCATTTCCTACTGGGTGAAAACAAAAGCAGCCATTTCCTTGGGCTAGTAGACACCACATCACTCTCTTCCTAATGACCCTGCACCCTCCCCAGTCTGGGAGGACAGTGTGCCCCTCCCTCCCACCAGAGGAGGCCAGCAATGAGGCTGCTGCAGCCAATGCCACAGGCTCTCCAGGTGCCCGCGCCATTCACCCACACTGGGCACCCAGCATCTCCCCGCCGGCCCATTGGTCTTGGCTCACGCATGTGAAATGGGGCTGGGAGCGGCCCTCTGAGAAGGCAGAGGTGTAGGGACCTAGATCACCAGCTGCTCTTACCAAGCTGGCAGACAGGGGAATTTTCTACTGGGCCCAGCTCCTCTGCCAGCTATTTTGCAGAAAACTGCAGCCCTGCCACCAACTCACCCCAAACCACACTTTTTGCCTTGGAACTCATCAGAGGAAATCTGAGCCGAGCTCCTGTTTAGTAACCGTTAGTTTCCACGTCATCCACACTCTCTCCTGCCTTCCTCCACCCGTTCCCTGCTTCTCTCCAATCACTCTCTGAAAAAGAACTTCTCCCTCTCAATTCCACACACCCCAAGTCTAAGCTTTTAGTAATTAGCCAGGCACACAGATCAGCAATAAAGACAGGAAACTTCCTCCCAAGAAGGTTTCATTTCTCATCTACACTAGGAATGATCATTTCCCCACTACCAAAAAAAAAAAAATTTAAACTATATATATCCCACAGTTGATAGACTGCACTTTCTGCTGTTAAACCGAAAGAAAAAGGAATAATCCACTTCTTTTTTCTGTACTTTCTTTACTTGAAGAAAATCAAGGCACTTATTGAAATATCTGCGAACTCATTAAAACATCTGCTTTGGCTGTGTGTGGTTAACCTTTTCAATACCCAAACATTTATAAACTCGCATTCTTGTTTAGATTGCATTCACACTCAGAAACACACACAAACACAGATATTGAACATACATCAATTACATATACATATTAGTAGTTCACACTTCAGTCCTGTATACACGTTCACACCTTCTCATAAAATATCACACATCATTTGCACAGACGTATATCCACAAAGATAAATACTATAATTTCTGTCTCTATTTTTCTTGGAAAGAACAGAATTCTTGAAATGTATTAGTAAAAATGGTAAAGAAAACACACTCCTTCTACATCTCTTGATAACTGCTCTTTCATTTATAGGGTTGGGGATCCTTCATTTCTTAAATACAAACACGCCCCAACAGAAACTGGCTACCATTTCTTCTGAAGAGCTGTACCATCCATTACTTTGTAGGCCTTTATTGTGTTCCAAAACGAACTTCATAAATGGTTTCTGTCCTGTTTCAGAGGAGTCAAGCCAAGCCGAAAAAGAGTTGAACTCAAGGGCAAACCCCTTAAGGCCAATCTCCATGTACAGAGGGGAAATTGACCCCATTGAAGTTTGAGCTACTGAGCCTGTTTGGTGAGTTGACAAGGGACTTCATTCTCCAACTATTTAGTGAATACCTTTCACCTGGGGCAAATTCATTTCCCAAAGACAAGTAGCAAAACCCAGCTTGGACTGTTCAGAGCAGTTTTCTCCTGCATCTGGGAGGGAAGCCTAAGGGATGGGCCAGGCCAGGTCAGATAAAGACCTCAGAGGCCCAAGGATGAAAGGATTGAAGTGACAGCCCTAGATGTAATTTGAAATAAAGAGAACACTAAATTTTAAAGTCACCGAGTTCTGATTTTCCCCCCATAATGAATACTTAGGTGTTTTTATTTTAAATATACAATATCAGATTGTTTCAAAAATCTTTCTGCCTCTCTCTCTTTTTTCCCCTCTTTCTTGGGTGTCTTTGCTTTGCTGGTAGCCTAAGCACCATCTGATGCTGCCTAGGGGTAGTGTAGCCTTGGATAAGGTAAAGGGATTTTGTACCCATTCACCTAGGAACTCACTCTCCTATAGAACCCAAGTTAAGACAGAATGCTGGTGCCTTGGTAATATTTGATTTGTAGGAAGTATTAAGAAGGGGTAAAGAAAGATCTTCTAAAAATCTGTCTGCCTTCCAGGAAAATTTAATTGGAGTTGTTTTAAAGGAACACTGTATGGCCTGAATATGACAATAATATTTGTTAAAATCTGAAGCCTGACTGTAGTGAGGTCTTTTAAATAATCAGAATTACAATGGCTTACTTCACAACAGCCCAGTGAAAGAACAATCAGATCTCTTGGCTTAGTTAAACTGAAGGAGAAAGTCCTTGGCAAAAACATGGAAACGTGGTAACAGGCTGGATGTAGGATTAGAGGGTCCAGTTGTTGTCAAAGGTGCTTCTGCGGTAATGGGACCAGGTTACCAGGAAAGGCAGGGTTTGACATTAGCAAAAAAGAGGGGAGGTGGTGCCTGGTTCTTAACTCAGTGTGACCTTTCTGGGTCTCAGCTTCATAAACTGCAATTCAATGAGTGGATTAAATTAGGTGTATAGTTTTCAAAATTTTTTTTAGAAGGGTACTTTTTGTTTTTCCTTGAACAGAACTCTACTGAGACCACCAATGTCCCAAGCAGATAAAAATGGAGCTCTTCTTGGATGCTGGGAGAGTGGTAACCAGAGAGGTAGAGTCAGGACCTCCCAGTCCCATCCTCATCTGTCAGGGGGCTTCTCTGCGAGCTCACTAGGGCTTCTTGGAACATGAGCTGAAACCCACTAAACTGGATCTCTGTTCCCTTGTTACTTTCAAATGTCAGGAAAAGAGAGAGTGGACATCTACTTCTCTTATATGTACCTGAGGGCACTTGGTCAAGAAAAGCAGTTGGTCTCATTTCCCCTGAAAATAATATATTTTATTTATTTTATAATTTATTCTTTATCCACAGCATAATTCCATCCTGTCTCTATTTCCACAGCATTGTTTTCATTTAATTATTAGTATCAAGGCAAAGAAGAAACTCTTTCCTCCACTTAAAAAGGAAGAAGGTTGTTACCTTGCCACTTACTCCACCAGGGCACTTTACTGGAAATAGCACTGGACCAGGATTCAGAAGTCCAGTACTCCAGTCTGGTCTCACCACTGGCAAGCTGTGTGACCCTGGGTAAGTTAGTAAACAGCTCTGAGCCTTTGTTTTCTCACCTAATAAATGTGGGGGGAGATTCTTAAGGTCAGTTCCAGTTCTAAAATCCAAAGCCTATATAATGAGGTGGGGAAAAAACCCTATAACCCATAGATTGAGGCAAAAATTTCAAAGATTCTCTACCCTTCTAAACAATAAGACATTTATTCAAGGTGTTACCCCTGCTTTATTGGCTTGGTAAGCTTGAAACAGAACTCCAGGATTCTTCAGATGAACATGTCTGTCTTGCATTATGGAGAGTTCAAATGTCTCTTTTAATCACATTAGCTCTACTGACATGAGTTTCTTTTCATAACCGAGTCTGTGGCTATATATTTATAAATATTATGGATACGCAGTTCTGCATGTGAGCATGTCAACAATAGGGATGCAGGAAAAGAAAGACCAAAAAGGAGTTTCTCCAAATCCCTT